ACTTGTTCTTTTTCTGCTAATTCAACACAACCTGGTACAAATGTATTTTGTGGCGAGCCATTTATGAACGGTGTTTTCTCTAGAATACAAGCTAATGCAAAGATTGTTGATGGAGCTATTTCAGAATGGTTCTGTCTAACAGCTTCAATTAGATTTGCAGCGGTGTCATTAACGCCAGGAATAATTGAGGAAAAACACTCTGTATTTGCGGTCCAAACCACAATCACTTTATCAAGCTGGTTATCTGATTTGAATTTTCTAATATCATTACGAATATGTTCAAGATGTTGTTTCTTATCGTTTCCAGAAATAAGATTATTGGCTCTGTCGCTCTGATTTGCAGCTATGAAATCAGGATAATAAATTGAAGGTAGCGGTTTAAATTTTTCTAATTCAGGAGCTAATTGGCGCTGAAGGTCATAATCAAGTACTTTTGCATGTTCCATTGCTTTAGCAAGATTACAAGAGTTAATGTCCCAGCCGCCTATGACCAAATCATTGGGGTTTACCATCGGAAGTATTTTATTAAAAGGAACATAAACATCATTGCCTTTTTCATCAACACCAAGCTTAAGAGTTGAGGATTGAACAAGTGAACCAAAATAATTGGGCGATTGCGTTCCGTCCTTAGTTTTCCATTTAATATTTCGACGATTGGCAATAATACTAGCAGTCAATGTTGAACCGTTATTGCCTCCCCATCCAACCATCATTAGCTTGTCAATTTTGAATTGATTTATTTTTTTATTAAATGAATTTCTTTACCTCAAAAAAAAAATTACAAAAAGACATCTACCCCGTTTTTGGCACCTTTAATTCTGTTTTAAAGGTGTATTTTGTTTCCGTTGGTGTTATCATGCTAACTCCATTATTTTTACTGACAATAGAACTATTATATACACAACTTGATATAATGTGTGTGTCCGAATAACTAACATTAGGTGAATTGACTATGAAATTATTATCATGAAGGGTGCTATTATTGGATGGGGTGTGTTCGGTATTAGGTGGCATTGTTTATTATTAATTATAAATTTTTTTTCGATTTTTTTTTTTTCAACTTATTAAATTATTTTTTTTTTATTATTTTGCAAAAAAAGACATTGTTCCCTATTTAAAATTTGTAATCAAAAAAAAAAAAATATTGATTATTACAAAGTTGAGAATAAATGAGAGAATTGTCGATCAATTTAATGAGAGAAATTTAAAGGTAGAGTTTGGTTACACATTATATCATATATATGGGGCATGCTGCAACAAAACCAGACAAAGTGAACATTGGTATTACCAAGAATTTCAGGGATCAAAGTTTAGTCATTATTACCACAATTACATTGTAATTATAATTTAACAGTCCAATTTGTTATCTTAAGTGATATATAGAATTACCTCTAGATAAAA